TATCCCATTCTTTTTCTTTTGGGTCCGATTTTTGATTTCTTTTTGTTCGATTTTTTTCGAATTTTTGCTCCCAAATTTTCGAAAATTCGATAGTATCAAAAAAAAAAAAAAGTGTCATCTAGTCCTGTTGTTTGATTTTTTCGGTTATTACCTTTTTGTTGAAGGGGCCGAATTTCTCTTCTTTTTTGGTCGAAATTTTCGAAATTCTTGTTCGAATTTTTCATTTATTTTTCGATTTTTTTTTAGTCTTAAAAAAAAAAAGAGAGTCATGATGTTCATACCATTAGACGAGATGGATTTGGAGGATCTCGAATTTTTGGAAAGATTGGAAAGAGAGTTAACTCCATGGGAGCAAAAATATTTGGAGGAGTTGCACGAACGAAGAGATCACGAGGAGAAGCTCGAGCGACAAGCCAAGGTCATGGAGGGATTCGTCGATGAAGAGCCCGTATTGGCGTTAGATCTACCAAGCTATGTTGAAGATGAGGTCACCGAGTTCATGGTCGAGCGAGTCGGGTGCGAGGATTCACCTTCGTTCGGTGCCTTGTCCATGGACGTTGGGGAGCCCAAGGTAGCCGAGGTCAAGGAAGCGATCTTAGTCATGGGTGATGAAGGTCATGATGAAGAGACGCACAAGGAGGGTAGTGCGGATGAGGAGGTGTTCGATGTCGAGAGTGAAGTCTTAGTCGAAGTCGAGGAGGAGATGCACATGATGGTCGAAGTGGTCAAGATCGAAGAAGGAGTGCCCGAGGTTTGGATGGTCGAGGATGAGTCCTTGAGGACAAGGACATTCTCAAAGGCGGCGGGAATGATGCGGAAGTGGGTTCCGACCCCCGACGACAAGAAGGGCCGAGAGCCAAGACAACCCGAGGAGGCTGAAAATAGGGCCAAAACGATGCACGCATGGCCTAAGAGACGGGTACGAGCTCGTATGCGAGGCGCACAAACATGCAAGAAAGGGCGCATTCAAGAAGGGCGCGCACACGCGCATTGGCGTAGAACCGCATGGCGCTTGGAGATTTGGCGAAGTGGCGCGCAGGGGGTGGATGTTGGGTGGTTGATGCGCGCGAGGGGTTATTGTGATTGGTCGGGCATGGCCAATAGGCGAATAGGCGAGAGGCGCGCATCGGGCGGTGATGCGCGGGCGATGGGAGTGCACGGGCGCGCGAAGGAAACACACACGGGGGGTGACCGCGACCTAGCAGGCAATGGAATGGCGGGCGCGCGACGACACGCGTGCGAGAGGGTTGGCAGGAACGGAGCGCGCGAGCTAGCACGTGGGTGTGGCGCAGACGCGGGAGTCCTACACCGCGAAGGCATAGGCGTGCTGGGCGCATACGCGTGCATGGGCGGCAGCGAAGAAGTAGCGCGCATGATGGCGCGCGCGTGGTGGGCAGAGGCGCAAAGCCCATTCCGCGCAGGACTAGGCGAGCGTGAGGCAGTGCACGTGTACGTGCGGGGCAAGACGCGCGCGCGCAAAGCCGCGCGCGACAAGGATTAGGTCTCGCAAAGGGCGGCGCACGAGAGATGGAAGGCGGCCGAAGTACTTGGGGCGTGTGGTTTGAATTGTTTGGAGTGCAAGCCAAGCAAGATCAAGATCTAGTCAATTTAGGACTCTAGTATATTTAGTTTCCTTCTTGCACCATAGTATCTATAATGTTTAGGAAGTTAATATTTTATTGCTTTAATATGTTTCCTAG